CCACGACTAGTTCAAATTTAACTAACAAGGCATGGTTCACAAAAATTCCCAAAGGATTTACCACATAACGGCATATAACAAGATTCTAGCATTTTTGGCATATGAAAATCAACACATAAACATGCTCTTTACATAAAGCATTTAATCCACATAGTTCCATGGTTATCATATAAGCAAGCTTTTCATACAACATATTTAACACACATTCTCACATGTTCATATATCTCAATCAAGTCAATTTAAACTATAATTAACATAATTAAGCATTTTAAGACACAAATCAAGTAGATCAACTCACTAAAGCACAAGATTTCATGGATTAAGGGCCCCTACCTCAAGATTGGACAAAACCCTTGAAATGGGTTCCAAATTTTGAAATCCAAGGAGGGCACCAAAGCTGAAATTTCTGGTACTAGTGCGAAGAGTCATCATGCTCTTCGTTTTGCCTCAAACGGCACTTAAATCCGACAAGAATTGAGAGACAAATCTTGTCTCAAAGATTTAAACTCAAAAGAAAGAAAAAAGAAAACTCTAGAAGGGGAGAGAGAGGTTCCAGCGGGAGTGAAGAGAGAAAGAAGAAAATGAGGCTTAAAACATGCATGTGGGTCCCACCATTTTTGAATTTCTTTTCCCTTTTTCTTTTATACCAATTTCTACACCACACATATATAATGCAACACATAAAATACCACTTAATCCACATAAATTAAAATGCACAAAATGCAATTGACCCAACTAAAAACCCGTACACAAGACATGAAAAGACCGAAATACCCTTGCATCAACGAATTACCGGAAAAATAAAAAATGTAGAAAATTGGAAACGTCACACTCCGCCTCGCATACTCCGTTTAATTGCGGTAAAGTTGAAACTGTTGAATTAATTCATGGACTTGGGATAGAATACTAAGATCTTGAATCCTTAATTGATTCTTGAAAATTGAATCACGTGCACAATTGTGGAATTTTAGTAAGTAGTGATTGTAGCGAATATTTAGTCAAAATATATTAATGGACACTTAACTTAAATATATACTTTATATATATATATATATATATATATATGTATATATATATATATGTATATATATAATCAGAGTCGAGGCAGGGGTGGGGTGGGGGCATCACTAAATCCGCTCGCGCCCCAAATCCATTTATGGAGCTACCAAATCCGCCCCATTAAGACCGGAGCGGGCGAAAACCAACGGGTTGGAGGAAATTGCCATTCCTAGGCAAAGACTACCAGAAAAGTGCTACCCCCCCACCCCCCCAAGATATAAACGTTTGTATTTTTGTATATGCAACTTGCATCAATTGTTACACCCTATAATACCTTTATAGATTTTGTATTTTCAAATTCGACCCTTGGGTTATCTATGTTTACTGTATCTGTTATGAATGACATATATTAGTCAATCAGACAAAAGTGTCCACCCTATGAACCCATAATTTTATGTTAATGATATATTAGAATCGGACTTCATTTAAAGTGTAATGTTGATGAGGCAGTTCTAAATCTCCAATAATTTGATTTTTGGTGTGCAAGGTTAACATGAAGACATTCAATCCAACAGTTAAATTGTCATAAATGAAACTTCAAGAATCGCCAAGTCTAAGTAGAATTTACATCAGCGTGCTGAGTCTTACTTACTTGTTCTGGACTATGAAATATTTCTATAAATGGATATTCCTTCCTCTGTCGTGTAATACAAAAGCCGGGATATTTTGGACATTCAACCTGAAAAACACCATCACAAGTACTAAGAATCGTGAGAATCGAGTGTTAACTATCGTGATGACAGAACTATTGCAAAATGCTTCATTGATACTTGCGTACAATCATGTATGCATAGCAAGCGAGCGCACGCGAATGAAAGAGAGAGAGATTTAAACTACGAAAATTTTATCTGGAATTGTATGTGCCCTTTAAAGTGCAGAAACAGTGCTCGATTTGGCTATATAATTTACCATTTTTCTAAAAGATGTTAAGGAAATTAGAAATCATCCATATTAACAGGTTCAACATATTATAACTACTGATAACCCGTGTTATATGACAATACATAATTCATTTTCAAGAAGCAACTTACGCGCATAAATTTTACATGCGGATAAAACTCAACTGCAGCTTCCTCCAGTACTTTGTCAAGATGTTTTGTATAATTACCCCTTGACCATCCAAAATAAGTACATAGACATAAGGAGTCAGTTTGATGAAGAAAGGAGACAACAACAAATAAGAAAGTATCAATTCCAAATCACCTGATGGTAAATGCCACAACCATAGGGTAACCTTGGTGTAGAAGCTGCACAAACTCACGCTCTGAGGTAAAATGAATAACCTGAGATGGCCCGAGATCCTTCGGATAACCAGTATAATATCTTTGAATTTTTACAAATGTCAGAAAAGAGGTCCTTCAGTGATGGACGAGAGGAAAATTGGACCAAACAGTGTAACTATGCTTAAGGTGATTCCATATCTCAGAACTAAGAAGGGGTGCATCCCGTTAAGACACCAAACTTAAGAAACAATCTGCATATTTGGCACTTCATTTCTTCAAAAATAATAATAATAGAAGTTAATAATTTTATCTTTACATGAATGGCACAAACACGAACTGCAGAGGATCCATGCCTCAATCAAGCATGTGTTTGGACACTAACACGGGCCAGTTATGATAGCTCACGTGGGATCAACACAGTCTCCAAAATTTTAAAATGATTTTTTTTTTTTTTTTTCCTATCAAAGTAGACAAAGCAGAACTTTGTTATTTTTCTCATACAAAAAACTGTATAATTATATTGAAATAATAAGGAAATCATCAGCTTTTTCCCAAACCTAACATCTTCGAAGAATCTCATTTTCAAACAAGAAAAGAACAATGAGGAAAAATAGTCGTTGTGCTTGACATGTTTTCTTTTAATTTCCATGTATGGTGTCTAATCCATGTGAGTGTCATCATATGAAATTTGAAAATTTTAAACACAAAATATTTTACAACAAAAAAAAAAATGCCAATCAGAAAGCTTATATGAATAACATCTTCAATTTGTGGAAGAAATAGCATATAGAGGGCTTGAACTTTAAGATGTTAATGCCACAAGAGTGTCTTGAAAATATGAAAATCAGTCCAAAAGATGTTTTCCCGGCACAAGATTCGGTACATATATTATACAAATTATCCCAACATAAAATTTTCCATTAAATTGGGTGAGAGAGGAAAGGAAATAAACAACGGTTAACACAATATATTGCATGCGAGAATTTTATTAAGAAAAGGGCACATTCCAACAATGAAATACTGAGTATGAAAAGTTACACATTCAAGAAACAAAGTGCTTTTGTGTGTGTGTGTGTGGAAGTTACGAGTAGAAATGGACTGCACATACTTGCACGTTGTACGAAGCTGATTCATCATTGTACCAAAAAATGACGAATCCTCCATCTGGTAGCAATTTTTCTATGTTTCTGCAAGATATATTAGTCATATATTTAAACCAAACTCTATACTTTAAAAGAAATGACAAATGTTATGAAATGTCCTCAGCAAGTGCTAACTGCAACGCAATACTGAACACAAAGTGCTACAGATTTTGCAACCAAGTAAATTTGATATCCAAAAAATTAAAACGCAACCCCAAAATTGAGATCTCCAATCCAAGTAAAGACCAAAGCCTCAACCAATAGACAATAGGAAAAATTGAGTTAAAGGTGTAAGAAGCTTAACCTAAAATTAGACTTGGAATATAAAATTACAAGGAAAATGAAGAAATGGTAGTCAATCCTAGAAGTGATTTACATGAAAAGATGATTTGAGAACTTTGTAGGGTAAAGTATAACTGATCAAACAAAATAAGAACTATAATAGTGCAGTGGAACTAATCAAAGAAATTGAAAAGGAAACTGCAGCTCAAAGTAAATACCTTCGTTTTCCGTCAGTTGTATGTGTGTTTGAGCCGGTGTGTGCGCGTGAGTGATAGGGAGACGGAGCACTGAGAACTTTGATTCATCAAGTACAGTCCTTGGCCGAGTTAGGGCTGGTCACCAATGGATGGGTCTAGTAAGCCGCTAATGCAATGGGCCTGTGACTGGATGTGCTCGTGTCGCTAACTTGCTACGTATATAGTTGCCAACTTGCAAAGGTTTGGGTTAAACCCAATATATAAATTGCGTCTACCCGCTTTTATAAGCGGGTAATGTGTTGTGTTCGTCATTTGAGCGACTGTGTTGCGCCAGCCCTTAGAAGCCTAAGACTCTCCGTTAAAAGAAGGGCTGGAGTGTTACGGCTTATGTTTAACTGCCCTTATAAGATCAAGACACTCCCCGTCCAAATCCAATCGTGGGACAAAAACCCGTAACACTGGGAATCATTTTTCTATTAACAATTTACTTTGTATTTTGTGTAATAACGATGATTGAACACTTGAGCGGTTCATTTTTGTACCTCGAGTCCTCAAAACCAATTGTCTCCAACACAATTAAAAGTGTAGCTTAAGTACTCAGGTACCACATGTCAGTTGTGTCTTTATTCATGATTGGCAACTGGTGTAACAATCTCTGGTTGTCACGTTCTCCGACTTTCTGCAGCAAATAGCCATGAGTTGCAAATGTTTGTGTGTGTAAGAGGTTGTGAAAGTTGAATAAGGCAATATAATCCAACCAAGATGGTGCAAACTGTAATTAGTTATTACTAGAAAAGTCAATAATACAACAGTAGAGAAGCATAAAACCCCATCCCAACCCTCCTTCGCTTCTCCAATCTTTAAAGACCTAGGAACCAAGGCTACTTCATACAATCAATGTAAAGGGGAATACAGGCATTCCACCATATTACAAAACAAATTAGCAAAACTTTTATGAGAGGAAGAAACTAGTAGTCTCACCCTACTATTAGTGATCTTCTTTACATCCCTTCCATATATATATATATATATATATATATATGCGTGTATATTTCAGACAAATACATTTAGCTTTTTATATCTTCTTATTACCACATATTACAAAGAATATCACAACCCATAAGGACTTAATTTCCATTATTAATCCAAGCTAGTGCTGGTAACCCATAGCCACCACCGGGATCCTGACCTTGTGCCTTCTGCTTCCTTTCATCAAAACCTCTCCAAAAGCATAGTTTCCTGTGAGTGATCGGACAGTGAGAGTCACCGTAAACTTCCGTGAAGCACCAGGTCTTACAGTCATTGCTGGGGGGTTGGTTTCAATGGCAACCGCCGGTGCCATTCTTGCCGCTATCACATATGTTTCTTCCTCCGCAACATTCGTGACAGTGCGTGTAACAACTTGACTACCAACAAGATGGGAAATTGCGATTGATGGGGTGTTAAGATTTGATGGGTGGCCGAGAGTGTAGTTGCATGGTGAATATGTGTGGTTTTTGATCTCACGAGCATCAATTCCAGGTATTGTGCACAAGAAGCCCAAGTAATCCTCATAACCTACAAAATAGAATCCAGTAAAAAGAAGTTTGACTGATTTGGGATTAAAACTAGAGAACAACCTGCCCACCCAAATAGTCAAATATTCTCAACATCCTAAAAACAAGACAAACATTCCCATATGAAATCCCCCACAAGAAGTCAAACCACTTTATTAAACAGTTTCCTAGTACTCAGATACTTCTAAAAAAAAGTTCCGCATCAGATAACTTTTTCATTTACCCATCTAAATATATAGCAATTTCTAGGGTTCATATTTCTTCATCCCATGCACCTCTTGGGCAACCATTTCTTTGTTGGTAAATATATGCTTCATGTGACATTTAAGATATAACAAATTTTACACTAATATATCATGAGATAATTAATAATATGCTAAGAAATTATTAATTAAATATGTAAATCTATATTTAATTCAATATGCAAAATAAAACAATAAAATAATAATAATAAATAAAGAACCTGAACCGAGGCTAGTATTAGATACTATATCATTAAGGCAGATTCGCCCCGTTATGGTGCTAACGGACTCAGTGACATCTATCTCTCAGGACACAATGGTCTACATCTACCAGTAGCAGCACTACAAACTCGTGGATACGGCGAACCTCCTCTGTGTAATACTCTCTCTGACTCAAAAATGCATTTATACTATATAAATAATGAATTGAGTGCAATCTGAACCAAATGGCTCGAACCAAATTTAATATGGCTCAATGAAATCGGTTTTGGGCCTAAGTGGCTCAGACCACTTGACCATGGCTTGAACCCACACCTACTTGGGTTGGGTTCATGTTGAGAGAGGAAGAGAAAAATGGAAAATTGTACACATAAATGGCAACCAATATTGGGTATTTATAGATAAGGTGGTGTCTTTTTGTTAATAGGCACAACCACTTCCAATAGGTTGTAATGGTTGGTTATAATCAAAGTGGTGTCCCATCGTTATTAGATGTGTTTGTTCAATTGAGATACAATGGTTTAAAATAGTTGCATCTATTAGTTATAACCACTCCTAAAACATCACCTTACCCGAATCAACACAACCTTTTATACCAAAATATTCTTGTTACAACCAACATATATTTGATATTCACATGTTGTAGTCTAATGTGATATACATAAATACGTTGCAGACAAGTTACATTCACACACCTTTCTAACAAATCCCCACATGAATGGAAATTGGCTGCTTAAATGCAAATGATAATGCAGACACTAAAGAGAGTATAGTCGAAAAGTTACTGTATCAGGATATGTAGCTTTTGGCTTTGAACCTTCCCTAGTGTATTGCTATTGGATTTACTGACTAACCAGTAAACGCGATGTCTTGAACTGTTCAGCCGTTTGTGTAAACCAAGACAATAACAGACATACAGTACCCTTCCTTACAAAGTTGGTTCTCATTGTTGTGTTCATTTTGGCCCTGAACAACTCCTGGTATTCAGTGAGTGCTCTAGAAAACTTAGCCTTTATAGTTCTCATAGAAGCGGCCCCACTTCACACTCATATAGGTGACTTCTTATTAAGAGTATCCTACCATACCCCACTTGAATTTTTAAGGTATAAGAGTCATTAAAAGCGTAGCTAATCCTAATCATCGCTGTAGGTAACATTGTCTCATCATAAAAATGGGTAGAAGATTTATATATTCCCAGTGCTTTTGGTGAGTCACTCAGAATTTCTGTTATCCCTTTGAACCTAGATCTTGGGATCTCCAGTCAACTAGGTTGGGTTTCCATTAAGGTGACTCGTTAGCTTTCGGCTATTAATCCCATTCCCCTCGATGATCTGTACAATTGCTCTCTAGTACAACCCTCAAATTTATATGTGGCCACAAGGTTATGTTTAGAAATATTACACTCTGTAGAGATTTCTCCAGGTGAGAGCAACTGTATACTTTGTGCCCTAAAATTACTTATTGTTAACAATATCACTTTCTTTGGTGGCACAGGTGTAGACTTACTAAGAAATGTCCTCTAGGTGAAGTCTATTGACTTTCCTATTTGATTTATTCAAAGTTTCTAACTTTGAGTTATATTAAGAATATACAACTACACCTTTAATATAAAAAACATATCCACTCTTGGATTTAAAGTCTTTAATATTCCATATCTATATTGCATTGCTGTTACACTTCCAATTTAGTTAGATATCTCAATCTATGCAATATTGGATTTAAGATGTATCTCAACTACCTAATTTATCATTTTTCAATGATCCGATCCTGGATTGAAAATATGCAATTAAATACAGTTATTAAGATGCCTTGCAATCTCAACCAATGATATACTTTAACTAGTATTTATATTTAATATTTACATCTACAAAAGTTAGCTAGACATTTGTTATCATAACAAGTATTATCTCAATCTCACTTTATTGAGAATATACTATGTTATCAGATGTTAAATCTTTCATATCAAATATACTAATTAGTATATCATTAATTTTTTTAAGGCATACAATGACTTATACATCACATTTATGTCATTGTCTTGGTACCAGCTTTAATCCACTCAAGGACTTATAAGCTTGCACACTTTACTCTTCAACTAGAACAAATAACTCATCTCTTACTGGAAAAAGAACTTTCTAGTTATTCCATAATATTTTCCTCATAGGAAACAACATGCACTATTTTTATAATACTATAAATGATTTTTGGTTCTATCTAAAATCTCTTACGAATAAGAACCCTATATTTATAAGTATTTCTTATCTGATGAGGTAACTCGTATCAAATTTTATTTATGGACAATATCTCCCCACAACTTTGGGATAATTCTGAAATTATTTATATATGATATATTTCTTATGATTTTCCAATGCATGAAATACCATATATTAAATATTTCATCCCATCTACCTTTCCAAGGTTCTATATTCGCTTCTCAACAAGTATGTATAACAGTCTCTAGTACATATATATTCACTTTATCTCTAGCTTGTTCTTATAATGTGTCATAGAGAATTAATGCTAGAGATATTAATTACAATGGGCTCTAATTAATATTTGCTTCTACATCTTTTGTATTTATGAATTGAGTTATTCATATTTAAGTTCATGTTCAGTCAATCATATTAACATGTCATAACCTTTCATGTATCACACATCACATAACTCAATCATTTAAGCAAATAACTCACTTATTGTTTAAGCTTTGGATACATCACCACATAGTGAGCACTCACTTCTCAACTATCATTACTAGTTAAAAGTGAGTTTTTAAGCTTTCATTACTAGCTTAGATTAAGCACACTCTTCTCATTAAATACTATTAGTTTATATGAGCACCCACTTCTTTGCTATTACCACTAGCTTGAAGTTAAGTTTGCTCAGTTATCAATTCTAGTATCTCTTAATTTTAGTACACACTTATCTAAGTAGTTTACCTTCGTAGTAAAGTAATTTGTTTTGAAGAATATTCTTCAAAAACTATTACTTTACAAGTAATATTATTCACTCCTACATGAGCAGATATGATGTATAACTCAAATAGCTTATTGCTAAAATGGCTACTCATCATCCTCGTGTTTTTTAACTACCAAGTCGAGAACAAGAACTAACTAACAGATTGTCATCTTCCTCTTAGGTTCTGTGCACCTCATGAATCATTTTAACTTATAGCTAAGCTAACTAGTTTGCAACTTAGTAACATTTTAGCTTTTAACTAAATTGTACATTATAGCTAACTGGCTTGATTTAGCTTATCTCGGTGTACTTGCTTACTGTATCCATAACATTTTCCATTAAACACTTTAAAGTTGTAGGAAAATCTTATCTTATTCAGCCCACTTACAGCTATACGTGTCTTTAAACACTAGCATAGATCTTTTTCCCTTGACTATCGGGATAATTGACATAACTAGACTAGTCAATTTTTGTCTGTTGTATTAAATACACAAACCAGTCATGAACTCATACAAATTCAATAATATCACATATTAAATAAATTATGTTGCAAAATTGAATTACAATGCATATTAAGTGATTCAACTACATAGTTCAATATTATAGTATCAAATAAAAGTAAACATTTGTAAAAATAATATTGAACTTGCATAACAATATAATTTCATATTATATCACATAATTAATTTAAGAAAAAAGATTTGTGGCTCATTCTCCAATAGTCATGCTAGAAAACCAGGATCAAAAGATTTAAACGTTATAGCCCTCTTGCAACGTCTAAGTTCATCCTTATTTTCATTGTATGCACAAGAAAATAATATGCAATATTGTTATAAGCATAACCTATCAAATGTTTTATATAACGATTCATTCCACCACATGATATGATATTATCCGTTTTGGGCCCGAGCCTGCACAGTTTTGTTCTTGGATTTTATCCCAGAAGGCCTTTTATACCAATTGGAGATAACACCACCACATAAAATCACTACACATTTCCCTTACCTAAGCGATGTGAGACTGTGCACTTGTAACTCGCCTAGTGTGGTAGCCTGTCGGTGCCTCTTGCACCCGTCCACGACACACACACACACACCTACAAGGTTGTCACATTTTAGATTCCACTTTAACTTTCTTAGGAGTAGGAACTACAACCTTAAATAGACACCCCCACACTTTTAAAAATTTATAAAACCTTTCCATAATTCATATGGTATCACATTAGTTTCTTTTGAGATATTTTAGTGATAACATAATTTGCGGAAAGCAAAACTTCCCCCCACAAATTCTGAGTTAAACCAGAACTTGTCAACATAGCATTCATCATTTCTTCATGAATGATACCTTGTTCTGAATAAATATCAGCAAATGATGATTCGTATTCACGAACTCTATCATTTCTTAACACCTTGTCAAGTTGATTCTCAACCTCATTTTTGTAATGTTTAAACATTTCTAAGGCTTTATCTTTGCTTCCTAACAGATATAGATAACATTATCTTGTGCAATCATTGATAAAAAGAATGAAATACCTTTTTTCTATCTCTAGTTGGCACAAATTTAAGATAATATAATATACTACATAATATTATATTACAAAATTAAAATAATTCAACCAATATTGAATTATATAAATAATTCAATAATTTACTAATATAACATACTTCAATTACACATAATATTGAATACATCCATATTTAGCATATTATCATATAATAATGTATATAACATTATTTTATTATATCTCATTTATTAGTATAATCTTTACTTTTTATATCTCAAATAGAAGCATATAATAAATTCTACGCAGGGAAGAATCTGTCTTAAGATTGTTGGTAAATCTTTGCTTCATGTGACATTTAAGATATAACAAACCTTATACTAATATATCATGAGATAATTAACAATATGCTAAGAAATCATTAATTAAATATGCAACTCTATATTTAATTAAATATGCAAAATAAAATAATAAAATAATAATAATAAATAAAGAACCTGAACCGAGGTTAGTATTGGATACTATGTCCTTAAGACAGATTCGTCTCGCTATGGTGCTAACGGACTCAGTGGCGTCTATCTCCCAGGATACAACGGTCTACATCCACCAGTAGCAGCACTATAAACTCGTGGATACTGCGAACCTCCTCCGTGTAATACTCTCTCTGACTGAAAAATGTATCTATACTATATAAATAATGAATTGAGTGCAATTTGAACCAAATGGCTCGAACCAAATTTAATATGGCTCAATGAAATCGGTTTTGGGCCTAAGTGGCTCAGACCACTTGACCATGGCTTGAACCCACACCTACTTGGGTTGGGTTCATGTTGAGAGAGGGAGAGAAGAATGGAAAATTGTACACATAAATGGCAACCAATATTGGGTATTTATAGATAAGGTGGTGTCTCTTTGTTAACAGGCACAATCACTTCCAATAGGTTACAATGGTCGGTTATAATCAAAGTGGTGTCCCATCGTTATTAGATGTGTTTGTTCATTTGAGATAAAATGGTTTAGAGTAGTTGCATCTATTGGTTATAACTACTCCTAAAACATCACCTTACCCTGTAACGACCCTTAACTGATACCATTTTTTTTTTTTTTTTTTTGAAAAAAAAAAAAAAAAAATCGGCATAACCTCCCCGAAATATGGACCTACCGCAACCTGTTTAAATGCATTCTTAACCTATCATGCAACTGATTTCTGAATTCACGGCAACAGTATATGATCATACATAGTCAAATAACACCGATAATTACTTTAACTAAAATTATCATTCCCATTCATCAATAAGGTTACATGCTATCAAATTCCCATCCAAAATACCATCAAATACTTTAGTTACGTTACATGACAAAGTTTTGCAATATATATATATATATATATATATATATATATACCTTTACACTTTTAGTGCTTTGCAAAAATAATGGGGAATATACAAAAGACACAAAAGTGAGCTTCTAGTATCGCTCAAACTTGAGGTGGGTTGTCGTCTACCAGTTCTTTTCCAAGACCTGAAAAAAAAATGTATAAATGGTAGGGTGAGCTATATGCTTAGTAGGTGACACTTAAGACACAAATCTTGTGTCCTTGTGAATTCAAGCAAAGAATAGGCCAATGGGAAATAGGGATCATTCAACGTAGGGGATCTTATACAACACACAAGTCATTTCCCAATATAATCAATGCAATGCAATGAATGCAAATGCATGCCAATGTCACTCCCCATTTTCATTCTCGAAACCATCACTTTCAAATGTTAATGTAACCCCCTTTGGTAACTCCGCCGCGACGAGAGAAAGATTGGCTACCGTCCCTAGGCCTTTGGTGACTCCGCAGCGCCGTCGAGGGGCCCGAATAGCTCAACTATGCTAGGGTACTCTCCTTAGTTCCCTCTAGGTTACATTAACCTACCGACCCGTTGGTAACTCCGCAGAGACATGGTTTATCAAAACCATTTCACAAAAACCATCATCTCCCAAAATTCCCCATTTCATTCCATTGACAAATTCACCCCTTTTTATGCATCCCAATGACATGAGCATGCATGTATGTATATGTGACATGCCTTCAATATTATAACATACAAAATTTTACTCCATAACTTAAACATATAACGTGTCAACATATTCGAATGGAGTAACAACACAATTAAGCACAACATAATACATCTAGGCATATATCATGTTCATCATCTTCAATTAAATCAACAACACATTTAACATCACAAAGCTACAATCTAGACATACTTTTTACATGGAACCAATCAAAATGAAAGCCATAAAATTCTCTAGACCACATTTAAGAAATCATCAACACAAAAAAAATCTCAAGTAGAGCATGTTAGCACATAAGAGATACATAATTCACAATGGGACAAGAAGTAAATGGATTAAGATGCCCCTACCCCGAAATCAAGCGAAATCCCTAGAAATGGGTTTTAAATTCGCACTCCAATAGGTGCCCAAAGCTGGAAATTGATGGTATGGATGTATAAAGCTTGACACGAGTTTCGTTTTGCCTCAAACGGTCCCTCAATTCGATAAGCGATGAGTGAGAAATCAAAATCCAAAGTTTAGTTCACAAGTGAAAAGAAAAAGAAGAGAGAAAATGAGAGAGCAGAAGGGCTTACGGGAAAGAGAGAGTGAGAGAGAGAAATGGGTTTCTCACCCATTTTGTGGGTGGGTGGTGGGGCCCACTTACTTTAATTTTCTTTTCTCTTTTTCTTTTTGCTTAATTTACACCTCATACACATAAAATACTCCTCTAAATAAATGCTACATCATCACACAAATTAAATTTCACAAAATAAAATTGGACCCAACAACAATTCCGGATGATAAATGAAAAGACGAAAATGCCCTTGCGGCGAAAAATTCCCAGAAAAAATGAAAAATGCTAAAATTTGGAAGCATCACAATCTACCCTCCTTAAAGAGATTTCGTCCTCGAAATCTATTCTCCTTAAAGAAGAAGCACAACAGTCACCAATCCTCCAAGAATACCCTTCAAAACTCCGAGACTATGAATTCACCTACATTATTACCTTTGACGTCGAACGTCAACAAGCAATCATAATCTGTCGTCAGAAAAACCTAATGATCACCACCCTAGGAGGGTACTCACCATTCACAACATTGAATACTAAACCTGCTGAATTCTATACTTGACTTAAAACTAACACTGGTTCTCTCTATACTGTTATACAAGGCTCGAAAGAACAATGATCCTAAGACCCCTGGTCATGATCACATCCTATCTCAACTCGTCCCTTTAAGGGACAACCCATACCCCAACGAGGATCAGACTTCATCTCAGATCATCACATCATTATCAAACCAACACCTGTCATCAATCATACGGCTATATAACTACATAATCATACGATAACCACCAATCACACTAATCAATAATTATTATACTAATCAACCTCAAGATAATTAAATAATAAATCTCTCAACAAGCATAAAATCGTGAGCCACCGAAATAATAAAATGCACCACCTTGTACTTTGAACACATGTCCTCAAATCGAAATCCTCAATAATCAATGATTGTACCATAAACCTGTTATCAAACACCCAATACCATTTAACATTTCTCGTCACCCAAAATAACTTATGAAAGTCTACACTGTCACATCAGCACCACACACTATACTATACTCTCAATATCACTAACAAGTCGGAACGATCATTGACCTTTGACCCGACATCGTGCCAAGAAAGGATCGATTCAGGAGAAATGGTTGGCCAGGCCATTCTCATCCTCACTCCAATCTCAACACCGATGTCATCCCTGTCCTCAAGTCTAAACCTCAAACACAATCTTTTACAGTTCACAAAACAACACAAGATCGACTCTTGAATCAATCTGTCACTCCACATGACCTCATCAACAATACAATCACATACTAGTTCTAAAAACCCCAAGATAAATCATGCCTCAATCATATCAAGCCAAAGTAATACATCGCCAATATCTCAATCACCAATCAACCTAAAGCCTTTCAATCACTTCATATCACCCTCAATCCGTAATCATCATCATAACATTATGCGATTCGATTCTGACCTCTTCAAAACACTCAATACGATCATTTCATGTTAAAAACCTCAAACCAAGGTCAATCGTTCCTATTATTCCTCAATGGAACACCATAATCATTTCCTAACTGCTTAGTATTCCAACAACACCAACACTTGTCCTCAAAGCACCGATCAATTCAGACATTAATAAAAACAGCCAAATACATGAGTCCTATCACATCTCTTAATTTTCCTTAAATTGCAATTCATGACACATCTCTTAGTCACCATCGTTGGTACCGATCATCAAAACATAATCCTTATTTGGCAACCCGTGCCTCACATCCCACCAATCAAGGCCATTCTCAAAACAAACACTACCAAAAACCAAAGACTAAACAATCCTCCTATGGAGGTAAGTCGACCCCTTTAGTCAGAACCTCAATTGATGACCCCCAATGAAGCAACACCTGCTCACCAATCCATCTACCCACAACCGCGCACAACTCCTAGTCAGAGACAAGACTCATAACAACTATCGTCCTAGTCAGGACTAAAACAAATGAAAGGAGCTAGTGAGCCTCGAGTTCACAAGAGACTAATGACCCGCACCTGAACGCAACTGACACCCTGTCACATGCTACTCATCAATCATCTAGTTATAGACACCTAATCTCACCCGAGATGAAAAGAACTCCTTACGTACAAGGGAAAGAACTAACTGAAAACACATAAAAGATTGCGAATACAACCTAGGCGACCTCGCCACTAATAGTCTATCAAACACACACATGAAACCTCACATACGACAAATCGCAATACTTATACCAACCAAGAGTACTCACTCTCACGATACACTAACGTTAGAAACAATCACAGCCGTTTAAACGTCAAGCTCCATTCTACTCAGATTCAATCATTCCCAAATGACAACCTCAAGGTTATAAAATAAGATCTTACTACCTATTCCACCTTCTCCCTTCAAAACGACATTACCTCAAACATTGTGCACACAAGACCCCTGTCCACAGTCATAACAATCCACTGACTCCTCAAAAGAAAGGTGCCTATTCGGTAGCACCACTCCCATTGGTTCTAAAAACTCAACTATCCATAATCACCTCAACTAGTGCACAATCCCATCACCTACCTATCAACACACAACAACAGTTTATAATCTCTCCAATCCATCTGCGGATCATACCTTAAACTATACTGCTTATTCGCACTAAACATCACACCATAACACCATAACACCTCTACTATCACGCCTTCCATCAACAGTTCAAACCTCTTATCCCATCGGATCATCCAATCACTATTAATGACTTTTCCTCAAACATCCTTAAAACAAATCATCGCAACAAAAGAACAAACACTACTTTCAATACTCCCCATAACGATCGCTATACATCACTAGAAAAGAATCTCCATACGGCAATATCATGCCGACAAATCCTCAAACAAAATGAGCACAAGATTCAGAATGCTCAACACCCACTTATCTCCTTAGAATCATCAACAATACAATCATTCACAACGCTTAACCAACTACCTAATCCATTCCTTTTAAAGTAGTCGACATACCTAATCAAGAAAATTTCGTGTCCTAAGTTCAACATCAATGCCACTACCATCACCATCTCCATTACTCGTTAATCCGAACACTCACTAAAAGAAAATACCAATGAAATACTATAAACAATTATAATTACATACCTTCGTCCACAGGAGGTCCCTCTGGTGACTCTCCAAGCTGAACACCAATCTGTGATACTGAAGGTTGAATCAGTTCTTGCCCTGAATTTACCCCGCCAACTGGAATTCCACTTCTTTTGGGACAATCCTTCTTCCTATGATCAGACTGGCCACACACAATACAGACTCCAGAACTGGGCCGATCCCAAGGGCACTCTACTCTCAAATGACTTATCTGCTTACACTTATAACAAGCCTTTTTGACCTTACCGGATGTCTCCGGCGGTGAAGCAAAAGTAGCTGGAGAATGAGGAGAATCACCCTTTAGCATTTTTCGTACATGACTCTTGGACAACATCTCCACCTCTTTAACCCGATTCCACAAGTCTCCATCTCCTGATCCGTCTCTAATCCCTGTCATCCCTGATTGTGTCACCGACCTCTGAGCTTCTATAACTACTGCACGCACAAAGTTTGTCATAGCCTCAACCAAATTCTTAATCAAAAGATCCCAATCAACAAGCTCATCCTGTTCCTCACCATCATCTGCTTCTCTACGTCTCTTTGGAGGCATGATTCTAAAACAGAAAGAAAAAGGATCAAACACAACACAATCATACAACCCTGACTCAAAGCTTTAAACACTCAAACATAATAAGGGCATTTAGCCATGAATTAAGAACCCCATTCTACGGTCGTGCTCTAAGCACCGCACAAAACACGATAAGAAGATTAAAATAATTGCACCTGAAATAACTCCTTCCACGAGCTAAAACCTACGCTATTAGTTTGACAAGAACCAACACCCAAACAACCCTGGAGCAACCGAGCTCCTCACCTTCTAAAGTCAAGACTCACTCGTCCCTCAATGCCATGACAAATACCCCAACATGCTAACAATCACTCTAATGCTTAACCGTATAGCTACATAGGGAAATTGACACATACGCGGATGCAAAATAAATGAATCCATGATACTATACGAAATGCCTTTGCATACGCTCGTTGCTTGTCATACTGACACCAAAATCAGAACTACACACACTGTGCCTACTACTCCTCGTTATCATAATCCTCATACAATCATTATACTTTTCTTTTCTTTCACCTTTCATTTACGCGGTTAGATTATCTATTATTCCTTATACATGATCATGCAACATAAATCTCAGCATTTAAACACATCAGCATATAGTAATTAAGCATATTCTCAAACTGTAAACATGTAAGCATGTATTTCACGTAAACAAGAAAACATTTAAGCAAGTAAACAAGTAGGCATGCCTCTTAAAATGGTAAACACATAAACACAAGTGCACATTCATCACAAATCAACTTTCTACTCCGTCTAGGTAAGCCACCACCCGTCGTCCTAAGATTTTTCGAACCATGGCTCTGATACCATTTCTGTAACGACCCTTAACTGATACCATTTTTTTTTTTTTTTTTTTTTTTAAAAAAAAAAAAAAATCGGCATAACCTCCCCGAAATATGGACCTACCGCAACCTGTTTAAATGCATTCTTAACCTGTCATGCAACTGATTTCTGAATTCACGGCAACAGTATATGATCATACATAGTCAAACAACACCGATAATTACTTTAACTAAAATTATCATTCCCATTCATCAACAAGGTTACATGCTATCAAATTCCCATCCAAAATACCATCAAATACCTTAGTTACATTACATGACAAAGTTTTGCAATATATATATATATATATATATATATATATATATATATACCTTTACACTTTTAGTGCTTTGCAAAAATAATGGGGAATATACAAAAGACACAAAAGTGAGCTTCTAGTATCGCTCAAGCTTGAGGTGGGTTGTCGTCTACCAGTTCTTTTCCAAGACCTAAAAAAAAAATGTATAAAAAGTAAGGTGAGCTATATGCTCAGTAGGTGACACTTAAGACACAAATCTTGTATAATTGTGAATTCAAACAAATAATAGGCCAATGGGAAATAGGGATCATTCAACGTAGGGGATCTTATACAACACACAAGTCATTTCCCAATATAATCAATGCAATGCAATGAATGCAAATGCATGCCAATGTCACTCCCCATTTTCATTCTCGAAACCATCACTTTCAAATGTTAATGTAACCCCTTTTGGTAACTCCGCCGCGACGAGAGAAGGATTGGCTACCGTCCTTAGGCCTTTGGTGACTCCGCAGCGCCGTCGAGGGCCCGAATAGCTCAACCACGCTAGGGTACTCTCCTTAGTTCCCTCTAGGTTACATTAACCTACCGGCCCATTGGTAACTCCGCAGCGACCGGGTTTATCAAAACCATTTCACAAAAACCATCATCTCCCAAAATTCCCCATTTCATTCCATTGACAAATTCACCCCTTTTTATGCATCCCAATGACATGAGCATGCATGTATGTATATGTGACATGCCTTCAATATTATAACATACAAAATTTTACTCCATAACTTAAACATATAACGTGTCAACATATTCGAATGGAGTAACAACACAATTAAGCACAACATAATACATCTAGGCATATATCATGTTCATCATCTTCAATTAAATCAACAACACATTTAACATCACAAAGCTACAATCTAAACATACTTTTTACATGGAACCAATCAAAATGAAAGTCATGAAATTCTCTAGACCATATTTAAGAAATCATCAACAGAAAAAAAATCTCAAGTAGAGCATGTTAGCACATAAGAGATACATAATTCACAATGGGACAAGAAGTAGATGGATTAAGATGCCCCTACCCCGAAATCAAGCGAAATCCCTAGAAATGGGTTTTAAATTCGCACTCCAATAGGTGCCCAAAGCTGGAAATTGATGGTATGGATGTATAGAGCTTGACACGAGCTTCGTTTTGCCTCAAACGGTCCCTCAATCCGATAAGCGATGAGTGAAAAATCAAAATCCAAAGTTTGGTTCACAAGTGAAAAGAAAAAGAAGAGAGAAAATGAGAGAGCAGAAGGGCTTACAGGAAAGAGAGAGTGAGAGACAGAAATGGGTTTCTCACCCATTTTGTGGGTGGGTGGTGGGGCCTACTTATTTTAATTTTCTTTTCTCTTTTTTTTTTTTTTGCTTAATTTACACCTCATACACATAAAATACTCCTCTAAATAAATGCTACATTATCACACAAATTAAATTCCACAAAATAAAATTGGACCCAACAAAAATTCCGGACGATAAGTGAAAAGACGAAAATGCCCTTGCGGCGAAAAATTCCCAAAAAAAATGAAAAATGCTAAAATTTGGAAGCATCACATACCCGAATCAACATAACCTTTTATACCAAAATATTCTTGTTACAACCAACATATATTTGATATTCACATGTTGTAGTCTAATGTGATATACATAGACACGTTACAGACAAGTTACATTTGCACACCTTTCTAACATTCTATACTATAGCCCGTGTTGGAGCTTGATGTACATTATTAGCCCATTCTTTAACAGTTTGAACTTTTAGAGCAATTGGTTGTATCGGGGCTTTTTGAATTGGTAGTCTTACACCTCTTTATCTCCCAGAATTATTATTTGACTTCAGAAAAGAGAAACAAAGAAGCAACTATCAGAAATCTTCATTGAGATTTAGAGATTCTTAACATTTCAATTACCAACCTTACTAGAGTTAAAAATGTGTCCAAAGAGTGTGTGTGTGTGTGTCATATATGTACAATAAGATATAATCCCTGGACATCATACAAATTCTGTGGCCATAATTGAACAGAGGCTAAGTCTATGACCATGTGCAAGTGAAATATGATAACATCTAGGTAATGATGTGTTAGGTTGGCAGGCAAGATAACAGATACTTCAGAAATCTCACAGTAGGCTTTACCCACTCAAAAATAAGTAAATGAATAGGTGAACATTTGTTATGTTAGCTTCAAAAGGATAAAATGAGTCAAATCATAGCACTGATAGAAGGATCAATCCCCCAAGCAGTAAGTGGAAAGTACATTGGTTTAAATTCAAGTTCATCATAACAAATATTATTTACTTTCAATTCCCACGTGAAGTCAATAATAGTCAAACTCATGTGTTATCTCATTATGTGGGGGAAAAAAGTGCAGAAGAAATGAAAAGAAGACAAAGAAAGAACCTGCATCAAAGACGAGTCCAGGATCTAGAGCAGCTCTGGAATTGACATGGCCACTACCATAATCGAAAGGTGTTGCTGAGACCAATGTCATGGTTTGAGAACCAGAATATTGCTAGGCTTGAAGAGGTCTCCCTGCTCTGTCCAGTGTAGTCGATGTCGTCATCAGGGATAATTTGATGGCAGCAGGGCTCCAATGAGGGTGCTTCTACTTTATTAGAGCAGCTATCCCTGCAATATGTGGTGCGGCCATGCTAGTTCCAGACACCATTGCAAATCCTTCACCTAATCCAAGCAAAATGATTTCTAAGTTGCTTAGTATGTATTAATTACATTCATAGAGCCATTATAATAATTTTTACCATTAAACAAGGCTTTCAAATTTCTTATATTGCTCCGTTTGGTAGTTAAGGAATAATAAGAAATTTTTTAGATTCCATGCCAATTTTTTTTTTTTTTTTTTGATAAGTAGATTCCATGCTTATTTTCCTGTCTTCTTACCAATCAAGTGGAGCATATAGTTCCATAGGAAAAAAAAAATGATCTATTTCCCAAATAAGGTAGGATTCAAAACCTCAAATTTACATACATATATACATATGTCAGAAAATTTATTTAAGTGGCGCGAAATTCTATTCCACTTTTGAAGTAGAAAAAGCTTGGTAGAGCCTCTCTAAGCCTAAAACATTTAATGGAATGTCTAAAACAAGGAGAGAATAGTGATCAGGAATATTATTGCTTTACCCATGTAATTAGGTTCATCCGTCCCATTTGGTGCCCAGGCTGCCCAAATTAGAGAACCAGGAGCTAGAATATCAGGCTTGAGAAGATCCGCATCTTGAAAGCTATAATCTTTTATATTCGGTCCTCAAGCAGAGAATAATGCTACTTGGGGAGCTAATTTGTGGAGTATGGGAAGCAAACCATCCCCGATGTTGCCTGTGGCCTTGAAGCTCCTTACTCGTCCAGTCCAATCTCTTGGTGTAGAGATGTTGTAGTAGTCTATAAGCTCCTAAAACCAGGGATGCCCATGCAGTGGATAACAAAACACATAAGAACCAGGAATAGTCCAGACTTGAGATTAAGAACAGGCAAGAAAATAATAAATATACAAAATGCGAAGACCAAAGAAAGCAATGCATCTTAGCAAGAGTAGAACAAACTGAAATGGAAATGGATGGTGATCATCGGGGAGTACAAACTTACAAAAGTGAACTTAAGTGGCACTGTCCATATGTGATTACCATTCTAAATACTTCTATGGCACAGCCCAAGGACTAAGGCCCAGTAGTCTTAGACAAAAAAAATCATGCTACACAACGAGCAGACAACAGTTCTGATGCAGACTTTAATCTCAGTAAATAATCATCACACCCTGGACAACATTTGACTCCCAAAAATCATAACATCGAGTAGAAGAGCCATGATACTTACCAGTGACTTGCTAACATTTGTTATTAGAATCTCAGGATTTCCAACAGGAACAGGATCGAATTTCGTTCCTGGAGAAACATTTTCTACTGCAAGAACAAAACCAATTACACCAAGGCTCTTGGCTGTTTCTAACACTTTCTTGATTGATGCAGTACCAACAACAAAATTAAAGGGATAGCCATAAAGAAGAATGTTTCCCTTCACCAAATTTTTGTTTAAAACTTTTGGCCTTTGGCAATCTGAAGGGTTGTACTTCGTAACCGAAGAATCAAGCAATACATCATTAGCCGCGACCATGGTGAATGCTTGATTCAAATGTGTAGCAACTACAATAAGCCATGAAACATGCTTTAGCTTTGAGAATGCGTACATATATCAAGGGAAACTAGTGTAGAATGATCTCAGACAATAAGTTGGAAGGTAATTGAGAATAGAATTTAATTATGTAAATAAATATTGTAGAATGGAACAGCTGCAACATCATATGAGAATCCTCTTGAAGGCTACCAAGTTAAAACCAAAAAAAAAGGCAAGATATAATCAACTCGCGTGAAACTTACGTGACAACCCAATTCCAGGTAAGATTTTCCCATTTCCCAGATTCAGATGGTTTTTGTATCTACGATCATCAATTGCAGCAGCCATAGATGCTATCCATGGACTATAAGACAACTAGGTTTTTGGAAAAGGACCTCCATTTCCAGCTTCCTGTGCAACAAACACACCAGCTTTCACAGCTGCAAGAAGTGTAGCATCAAAAGCGTTTAAAAATGTGGTCTTTATGGTTGTTGGACTGTTTGGCCCCACCGAGAGATTGAGAATGTCAACACCATCATGAGCAGCCTGTTACAAAAGCTTTCAAACATCAAATTCCTTACATAAGCAGAAATTATAAAAGATTATCAGACAGATAAAAAAATAAGTAATAAAAAGGATCTCAGATTCTCATATCACTTGCAGTTATTGCAGCCTTCGAGAGGCCATCAATTAAGGGTTTCTGTTATCTTTTTCTTTTTTTCTTTTTTTTTTTTTTTTTTTTTTTTTTTTTTGTATCATTCTGGGTAGTGGGCACATAAGGAGCATCTTAGCCATCAAGATTTTAGTTTAGCAAATTAAGTAAAACTTAAAGAAAGATGCTCCATTTATGTAAGAAGAAGAGGATACACAATATATAAATATATATATATATATATATATATATATAATGTGTTATGCATACTTTCTGTTTCAAACATTTAGTAAGTTCGTGGCACTTACCAACTTTTTTTATGGTGGAACAACTCTGACCTGCTGCTTTGTGTGGTTTGCTTATTGGTCAACAAGCAAACCACACAAAGCAGCAGGTCAGAGTTGTTCCACCATAAAAAAAGTTGGTAAGTGCCACGAACTTACTAAATGTTTAAAACAGAAAGTATGCAGAACACGTTGCAACAGAACTAAGCAAAAGTAACTTGGTAAAATTGGCGTACTCAATTTGAGAGTCTGACTATCATTATATACAAGAGAAAAATTACAAATATGGAAAGAGAATAAAATCAAATTAGAATAAAGAGAATAAAATAAAATCAGAATAAAAATAAAATTCCTAAATATTAGCCTATATTAAAGACCCAATAAATCTGCCACAATCATTGAGTTAACTTATGGATATGATTTCCAACACTCCCCCTCAAGCTGGAGCAAATATGTTGACCAAGCCCAGCTTGCCTATGGAAGACTGGAGAAGAGAAGGCCCAACAAACTTTGTGAACACATCTGCAGTCTATTCTGAAGAGGGAACAAAAATAGGATTAATGATACCTGATCGAACCTTCTCTCGAATAAAGTGAATGTCTACCTCAATATGTTTCGACCTTTCATGTAAAACAGAATCGGAAACAAGCGTAATGGCTAATTTATTGTCACAAAACAGCCTTGAAGAACCTTTCTCTACCAGACCTAACTCTCCCAAAATTGATTGAAGCCAAAGGAGCTCACAAGTACCTTGAGCCATAGCTCGGTATTCAGCTTCAGCAGAGGATCTAGAGACAACAGCTTGCTTCTTACTCTTCCATGATATGAGATGATTACCATAGAAAGTACAGAAGCCAGAGATAAAACGTCTATCTGTCTTACATCCAGCATAGTCTGCATTAGTAAAGTATGAGAGTCCAGACTGATTTCTCGAGGCATAGAACAGACCAAGACCAGGGCACGACTTAAGATAACTCAAAATATGGTAGACTGCATCCATATGAGTTGAGCGAGGGGCATGCATGAATTGACTAACCATACTAACAGCAAATGTCAAATCGGGCCTTGTGTTAGTCAAGTAGATAAGACGACCTACTAAACGTTGATACACGGATGGATCTGAAAGTAATTCCCCTGACTCAACAGAGAGTTTAATATTGGGGTCCATAGGAGTGGAAGCAGGTCGACACCCAAGCATGCCAGTATCTTGAAGAAGATCCAAAACATATTTCCTTTGAGATAAAGAAATTCCACGACGGGATCTAGCAACCTCAATTCCAAGAAAATATCGAAGAGGACCTAAGTCCTTCACTTCAAAGGACTTTTGAAGATGAAGTTTCGCCTAAGCAATCCCTAAAGCATTATCACCTGTGATAATGATATCATCTACATATACCAATAACATAATGCAACGACCATCAGAGCGACGTCGAATAAAGCAAGTATGGTCTGAATGGCAACGCACAAAGCCCATGGATAGAACAACATCGCTGAAACGACTAAACCAAGCTTTAGGAGATTGCTTCAGACCATAAAGAGACTTCCGCAGCCTATAAACTTTCCCAGCATACTCCCCCTCAGCCTGAAATCCAAGGGGTGGATCCATATATATAGTCTCAAGTAAGTCTCCATTAAGAAATGCATTCTTAACATCTAACTGATGTAGAGGCCAAGAATGGGCAGTAGACAAGGAGATAAGCAGTCGTACAGACGTCAACTTTGCCATAGGAGCAAAGGTAGCACTAAAGTCTTTGCCTAGAATCTAAATAAAGCCTTTTGCCACCAATCGAGCCTTATATTGATCAATAGAACCATCGGCTAAGTACTTCACATTAAAGACCCATTTGCAGCCAACCGTTTTCTCCCCAGCAGGTTAAGCAACAAGCTCCCATGTATTATTATGTTGTAAAGCATCCATTTCTGTTGTCATGGAAGACACCCAATTAGGATCTTGGAGGGCCTCTGACACAAATCGAGGAATAGAAATGGTCCCAATCTTGCCCAGGAAGGATTTATATGCACCTGAAAGACCATCATAGGAGACATACTGGGAAATAGGGTGGTTAGTGCTACTAGAAAAACCATACCAATTAGGAGGGTGATGATCACGGGTAGGATAACGGGAGGTATGCTCAGGAATGGAAGAAGCCATAGGAGAAGGAGAGTTACCTGAACCTAGTTCTGAAGATGATTCTGGCAGGGGAGGTTAAGTGCGATGGCGACGAGAGTAGACCTGCAAAGGTGGAGGGGAACCCTGCATGGATGGAGAAGGAGATTCCAGGACAGTGTGATTTTCAAAGAGAGGAACAGGATGAGCAATAGGAGAAATCTCTTTCTCCAGATCAAAAGAGAGAGAATCCTGTACCACAGAATTAGTACTATAAAAAGGAACAGTTTCATGAAATGTCACATCAAGAGAATGATACATATGCTTGGTCACAGGATCATAACAACGATAGCCCTTTGACATAGCAGAATACCCTAAGAAAATACACCTAATAGATTTATCATCAAGTTTATGATGAGAAGGACTACGGATATGAACAAAACAAGTATAGCCGAAAACACGAGGCAGAAGATGAAACAATGTATAATCAAGTTGGAGAATCTGAAGTGGGGCCTAACCACCCAAAACTCGACTGGGAGTACGATTAATCAGAAAAGCAGTTGTAAGAACAGCCATGTGCCAATATAATTTAGGCACATGCATACCACTCAGAAGACATCGGACCACAGACATAAGATGACGATTTTTGCGTTCAGCCACGCTATTTTGCTTAGGAGTGTAGGGGCAAGTGAGTTGATGTAAAATCCCCTTTTTATTAAGTTCAGTCCGGAACTCATTCGAAACATATTCTCGTCCATTATCAGAACGAATATTACGAACAACAGTGTTATACTGGGTTTTGATCATTTGAAGAAACTGGGTAAATAAAAGAAATACATTAGATTTCTTTTTCAATAAATAAACCCAAGTACAACGAGAATAATCATCAATAAATATCACATAATATCGATATCCAGAGAAAGTAGTAACTGGGGAAGGGCCCCAGACATCAGAATGAATAAGATCAAACATACTAGGAGCACGACTCATATGAGAAATATAGCTTGTTCTAGTATGTTTAGAAAGCTCAAAAACTTCACATTGAAACTTATAGTCCTTACATGCTTTATTTAACGAAGGAAACAATAGACATAGATACTGAAATTTTACATGCCCCAAACGTGCATACCACAGACTAAAGGTGCGAAAAGAAATATCATAAACAGTAGAAGTAGGTAGGATAGAAGCTTGAAGACTCATTCCTGGTGGTTCCCCAAAGTAGTAAAGCCCATCACGCTCATAACCCCTGCCAAAAATCCTCTTCGAACAAAGGTCCTGCAACAAACAGTGATCTGGTAAGAATATAACTGCACATTGGAGGTTTTTTGCAAGCCAGCTAACAGATAAAAGGTTAAAGGCAAGTTTAGGTACATGAAGGACAGATGAAAGAGTAATATCAGGAGATAAACAAATATCACCCTTACTGTGAATGTAAGATGTAGATCCATTCGCAAGATACACAGATTGGGTAATAGGTATGACATTAGAAGAAAAAAACTGATAACTCACCAGTCATGTGATCATTGGCCCCAGAATCCAGAACCCAAGTGGCTGCTTGGCCTTAACATGAAATGCAGTAGGAGTACCTGTAGCAATAGTGGCAGTGGGAGCAGCTGAAGGAGCTCCAACTCTAGAAGTAAGGGAGCCAAGCTGGTCCTGGATCTGCCCAATCTGAGACTGAAGCTGGCTCAATTCAAGAAATACAGTAGATCCACCAGTAATAACAGGAGTTTCTGCAACAGCCGTAGTACGAGAAGAACCAGATCCAGATAAACGATTCCTAGAAAATTTTTGCTTTAGTTCAAGATGAAGTTTGAAGCAACGAGCCTTAATATGTCCCACCCCTCTACAATGGTGACAAATAATCTGACCTCCAGAAGCTCGTGATCCAAAGTTGGCTGCAAAAGCCATACTATCCCCAGTAGGCTCAGACACTGGTAGAGGAACAAGTGAGGGT